ACACACACACACACACACACACACACACACACACACACACACACACACACACACACACACAGGACAACAGTGAGGGGAAACATGCTAATTGTGGTTTATTTTCTCTTCAGACAGATGTTTTGTCTTCCTATCAGCTGCTTTGATTCAGTTTCCTCTGGGCTGTCAGAGGTCAGTGGATGACCCGGAGCTGGTRGCTGCGCTGCCAGAATAAACCCAACAAAGACGGGTTTATTCTGCAGGCCTGAACACGCAGGGGTATGCTGAGGTTACAGGGAGCAGCAGGCGCATGAAAGTGGACTGAGGAATGTCACTAATGATGTGTTCAATTAAGTTCAATTAGCCRAATTGTCCTCTGTGTGTGGTGAGAGACGAGGAGAGGATGGGGCGGGGGGGCGGGGGGCTTTAAACAGAACAGGCTGATGGAAGGAGAGCGGCACAGACAGATACATATTGTATCAGAGCTGCTAAACAGAGGTTGACACTTCGTCTCCGCCAAGAATCCTGTCGTCCCTCCGCTCCTTTGGTTGCCATCGCCCAAAATAATTACTGCGCTCCTGAATGCGTCGGTTCTTCCCAACAAAAGCTGCAGAGCGGCTGGGTGCAAAGCATTCTCATGGCGGCTCATGTTACATGTTAGAAAAACAACTCGTATGGAGCGAGGCGAGCGCCTGTAAACGCTCAGGGAGGCTAAAATAAGCTGCTYAGCTGAAAACACAAAAACTTTTACAGGTTTTACTGGTTCAAAGACGAGACCAGATCAACCATGTTAGAGAGAAAAACGTCCTGTTTCATTAAAGATCATTTTCACTAACTCATCCAAAATACTTCAGCCTTTGACCAACATCATAAAACCTGACAGAGACTCAGATTACTGTAGTTTAAAGACTAAATATATCACTAATAAAACTTTAATATTTATTCACAGCTCAGTTGTTTCTTTGTAACAGTTAAGACCAGATACTCCATCAACAATCATTTTAAAGTCATTTTTTTTCTGTAGATCTTCTCAGGACCCACACCTGGTCTTTCYTGACCTTCAGCGGGGCCCTGACCCTTACTTTGAGAACCCTCGTACTACAGTAACAAGATGAAGCTGTTTGAGCCACACTGATGGAATAAAATGATTTGTTTCATTAACGTGGTGGTTTAAAACTTTTAAAATGTTTTACAGTAACAAAGTAATTAATTAATAACTTAGTTACAGGATCATAAAGACTATAATTAACTAAATTAATTACGTTTTTTATGGTAAATTTGTACCATTTAGTGACATCTAGTGGTAATGTTGGGAACAGAAACCGTCTCTGATGTTTCAGCTGATGGTTCGTGTTCTTATGTTTACATTTATCCTTAAATCTGCTTCATTTTATTTACATTTGTTATTTAGTTCTGATTGTTTGTGTCAACATTAAAAACTTTAAAAATGTTGTTTAATGAAACAAAAAATACATTCTTAGAGCAGCCTGAGTTTATTTCACATTAAATGTTTTTTAGCACAGAATTTTATTTTCAAGTGCAACTAGTGGCAGCAGCAGCTAGCAGTGGCAGTGCTTCTTTCAGGAACATCATATTTCTGTGAAGGTTTATAACCTGTTAAAAGTGTTTACAGCAGTGGCGTCACTAGGCCTATTTTAGGGGGGCTGGAGCCCCCTTAAAATATTTCAAAGCCCCCCTAAATTATTTTAGTGTAAAAGTTTTTTGATCATAAATCTGTCAGTTTCCCTTTAATTTATAGTGTAAAATAATTTTAATGTTCAGTTTTGGGGTATTTTTGATTTGATGTTGAAATATTATTGGGCCGTGAATGATTTAAAAATAACTATGGAAAATAATAATAATCTGAAAGTGCAGGTATTGTTCTCTAAATAAATGTTACTGAAATGATACTTTACACACAACACACACACACACACACACACAAACACACACACAAGTTTATAATACACAAAAATTCTGTGCGTGTCCTGGGGTCTAAGCCCCCCTTTTCCTTAAAAGCCAGTGCCAGCCCTGGTTTACAGGAACAAATAAAAGCTTCTGTAAAGAATAAAGGAACATTCCAGAAATCCTCCAACGAGCTGAAGTCACGTCTTTAAACAGCTCCGAGCTGAGAGCAGTCAGCCTGAAGTCCCAATAAAAACCTTTCACAGCTTCTGAACAGCAGCAGGATTCAAACAAACTGAAGCTTTCAGCAGCTGAAACAGATCTAACATTTAAAAACATTCATCAGATCATTCTGAGCTGTTTTACTGTCGGATTGTCTTTATTAAGAAGTCATTTTCTTTCTTTTAAAGTGGATTTTAAATCCACTGAAGATTTTCCTCTGAAGTTAATCGTGTTTAAAAGTGCAGCAAAGATCTTTAAATGTGTGAAAGATCAGAAATATATCAGCTCACATGAGATGCCTGTGAGACAGAKGTCAGGGTTTATAAATGTTTGAATCACTTTATAACAGCTGATAAAAACCTAAATGTGGATGAAATGTAAAGTTTTCAGTCCCAACAAGACATGCTGGAGGAGAACTGTGAGGAACCAGCAGCAGACTGGTCCACAGAGAGGAGCTCTTCAGTGTTTCAGTGAAGCTGCTCCGCTCAGATCCACTTCATAAAACCTTTTTCCAGCTGCTGTTCCAGCCTGTCGCCTACAGAAACCAAACTGCAGCAGCTGAACATCCAGAGGAGGAGGCAGCAGACGTCACAGTCCCGCCCACACAGCACCGAGGACAGGTGAGGTGACTTCACCTGAGCTGCAGACGTTTGTTCTGAACAGAAAACTTTTCTCCTGAGGAAAGACATCTTTCAGAACCTGACACAGTCAGGCTAATCCTAACCCTAACCCTAACCCTAATCC